TATTGCTGCAATCTTATTTTTTTGGCATCAAGTAGCTTAAAAACAGTTTTAAAGTAACTTCTGAATAAGTTCCCAGCTGAATTGATTGACGGGGGGGGAAGCAGAACACGAAAGATTGTCAAAATTGATGTGTGCACGATGCAGAGATTGATGAATTTGTGCTTCCACAAACATTTGAGTCAAACCAGGGAACTGTTGCTTCTGTAATGTCATCTAAGCATATTTTTTGTGGGATTAGAAGTTACAGTTTCTTCATCCTGTGTGACAAAATAAAACATAACCAAAACTAAACAATTTCCACTTCAGTTTCCTGTAGGAAAACTATTGCATTTAATGTTTTTTCCTTAACAAATGAATCATTTGCACTTTGGGGCAATGTAAGAGAATTTTTGTTATGCTGTCCTTACCCAAATTGATGATTATTACTGTGTACTGATGATAAATTTGAATGGAGGTTGATATCCATTTCTCTGAATGTAATTCTTGTCTTGCAGCACTTGGTGTGAACTCCCATTCCAATGAATGTACATGTTGTCTAGACTGGTAAAAGAGCTTTAAACTATTTGTTCCTACAGTCTAACAAACTAGCTATTTTATATCTGTGTTATTTTTTAAGTGGTAATGTAAGTGGTGTGTTTTGAAGTAAGATAAAGGATAAGCTATGTAAAGTTTTCCATAAAATATGTATGGGAAGGTATCAGAGAGGCACAGGCAATTTTATTTTTTCTTCTGTTTTAGATTACTTTTACACACTGTACACCTGCCTGGATTCTTCTGTATTGTGATTTTCTCCTAATTTCCTGTTCTTAATATTTGTCATCTTTTTCTAACAAGTACCCATCCAACATGCAAGGTAAACTGGGGTGAAATTTAGGGGCAAGGAGAACAAACTACTTAAAGCCTACTTAAAGTCTGAAGAGACACTGAAATGCTGTTACTGAAGCAGTAATAGATTAAAACTTTCCACAGGTATTTTTCCCTTAAGTTGACTTGTGTCTTTTACTTGCCAGTGGATTGTTGACCTGTGCTGTGGTTTGTATGTATTTCTAAGAGAAATGTAAAGAATTTCCACAGTCCATTTTTTGGAGCAGAATGTACATAAGTAAATGTTGTTTAAATATTTTATTTTGTAATGTAATTTGAAAATCAGATTCTGGGAATTTAAACAGTTCTCATTAAAGTATAACATAAAACTAAATACCTCAGTATCCAAATCAGGATTGAACTCCTTTGGTGTTTCTTGATTTGTGTTCCCTCATCTAGAATCCAGTTTACTGTGTCGAGTTGTAATCTCTCTCTGTGAAGAACTGTGGGTGGTTTTTTTGTTTTGTTTTAAAACTCATGGCTACTTTTACTGAAACTAGAGAATTCTAAGGATAGAAATTGATGCCTTTGCAAGTGCACACTTCAGCATTTCTTTGGAATAATTTGTGATCAGAGGAAGAAAAGCTGACAGTGCTTGCCTGAGGAATCACATACATATACAGAAAAATGTAATTGATTAACTTTTTCTATAAAAGTATAGTAAAATCTGTTTTTTCTATGAATAAGGAACTTTCTGTAATAAAGGGGAAGGCATGAATAAAAATATATAGGGGGAAGTTTGTTCGGTTTATGTAACTTTAATTACTGAGCTTTTAAATTACTTCAGTCAAAACTACAATTCATTATCTCTGTAGAATGTTGTTCTCCCAAATACTCTTATGTCTTAATGCATAAAAGTAAACACTGCACTGGATGAGTTTAACAATACTGGCATCTAAACTTGTGTTCTTGCAGTAACGTGCACAGCTACACCGAGTAATTCTATTGCTGTATACATTTAGTCTGGCTTGATTTTATAAAAAATCACTTGTCAAGTAGATAAATCCAGTAGTATTAGACATTACTTACTGAATTGTTGTCCTATCCACGTGAGAAGGTGTAGTTAGCTGCATTTTTTTAGAAACAGATAAAATGACAGCATTAAAACAAGTTTGGGGTTTTTTTGTGCTATTTCATACTCAGTGTACTCACTTGTTTTTAAACAATCAAGTCATAGCAGCAGAAGTAAGAACTTAACTGGGCAGTAACTATTTGAATTTTTATTTTGTGAGGTTCTACAAGTTTAGGAGTTACCATGGCTCACTGGGGAATCTTGGTTTCCCATGCTTTTATCTTTGCTGTTGTTAACCCGGATGCTTCATTTGGGTTTCCCTACCTATAACTGAACAGCTTTGCATGAGACAATTTTTAATCTAGTGAAATCTGGCTTTGTCACTACTAGGGATATTCATAAGATGAATACTTGTTTCCTTTTGGAAAATGGCTACAGAATATTTTAGCTGGTTTTCCTCTGTGTGCTGTGACCTAAATGATAATAGCGTAAATAATAATATAAAGGCTGTTTCTGTAGCTGTTCTGTTGGAATTCCAGCAGCTGAGAGAGTTCTCTGGCTGATTTATTCTGAATTATGCTTCAGTAGACACTTTCTGCCACAATTGCTTGCTTTGCAACACTGCTGGCTGTTCTTTATTTTAATTCTGAGCTTGGTGCTTTAATGTCTCACCTTGCAGGGGTCAGGTTTTTTTAAACCTCATTAAATCTGATTGCTTGTTTGATCTTTGTTGGATTCATTATGTGAATATAACTAAATTCCTGCTAAAAACTGTGCAGGACTTGCAGTTAGTGATGTAAATCTGTAAGAATACAAATCGTAGCAGAGTAAATATTAATATGGCTATTCATGCTAGGCAGAACAGTACACACTAAGTTTCTCAGTGAGGCAGTATGTGAAGGTAGCAAAGATGGTTTAATTAATTAATTTATTTATTTATTTATTTTCAAATCAAAGCTTAAGGTGAAGGAAAGAGTTGGGTTTGGCCCAAATATCACTGCTTTCCAGTAATTTGAAGTATATTTATACTTACTTTAATCTTCTCAGTCAATTAGTAGAAAAACAGGTACCAAAACTGGACAGTGACATCCCCACCACCACCACTGTTGTGTCTTCAACCCATCCTTTGTGATACCAGCACAGCCAAGAACTCTTATGATGTGACAAATTCAGTTTTCTCAGATCTTCTCTACATAGGTGATCGAACTAAAACTGATGGGAAGAACAACTCTATTAGAGTCACAGCAGTGCTGGTGTGGAAAATTGGAGAATTTTAACTGTTTTCCCTCAGGCAGTAACTTGACAACAACATAGCTGGGAGGTTGGGACTAACTGGGGTTCACAGTCCAAGTTGTTCATGAAGTGCTGTGTGGCTTCAAAGCACCGATGTTGGCCATACCTGATATATCAGTATTTCCTTCTTGATTTTGCTCCTGTCTATCAGTTTATCTCCATGATGTCAAGTCATGGGGTTTATGAAAGGAAATAGAACATGGGGCATTCCAGGAAAGCCTGGTTGCCTGGAGAACAGGGAATGTTATCCACTGCTCCCACAGCCACCCTGGGGTGCCAGTGGCCCGGGCAGTGTGTGCCCAGCCCTTGCACAGCAGCTCCCACCCTCTCATCCTGCCTGGACTTTGCTGTTTTGGGAAGGTTTAGGCAGCACTCCCTGCAGCTGCAGGAGGGCTCTGTGCTACAGGTGAGTACTCTCTTCGTGTTTGGTTTGTGAGTTCTGTTTCTAAGTTATGGTATTCATTTAAGTAATTTTTTTTTAATTAAAATTACAGACCATCTGTGTAAGAAGTCAGTGGGGAAATATGCATGGGAGCATAAAGAAAATATTTTAATATTTAAGGACAATCCTAAAAATACATGTTTTAAAAAAAACCAATATGACCATTTTCTTCTCTCATGGACTGAGATGAAGATTGACCTCTTAGAACAAAAAGAATGGGAAAAAGGCTGTACTCTGGCTATACCAAGGCAGCTGGGAAGTCGAGAAACTCTTAAAAATTATAAAAGTGGGCAGTCTGGGTATTTTAAAAGATGTGACTATAAACCATGGTTTGTTTTTTTTTTCTCTTTAGAGAAGTCACTTGTATTAACAAAGAAGCCTAATCTCCATGTAATATTTTTTAAGGTACTGATTGTGTCTTCTTTCAATACATTTTCTGTCCAGTAAACCCCATGAAATGTGGGTGTTCAGCAGCGCTTTGAAAAGTGAGCCTTTGCCTCTCACTGGGAATGCACGGTCACCAGAGCTCGTTTATTATTAATTCTTGATCTAGTATGTGTTTTGGTGCTATTTTATTAAAGTTTAATTATTTGATTAAGGTTCGGGGTTGCTGCTCATAGGTAACCTGATGAAGTTCAGATATGGAAGTATCGGTGCTCACTTCGTCACACCTATTGTAGTGGTTGTGATTTTGGTTTAGCTTAGCCTGACGTGAGCGACCTCTGCCATGTGGGTCTAGGTGGGACTTCTAGGCTGGTGCCAGCAGCTGGGTTTAGACCAGGAATTGGCAAAAGTCCGGGTTTAGGACTGGAGTTTCAAAACTTAAAGAGAAGCGCGGTGTTTGGAGCTGTAGGTGCGGTCGGTACCTGACCCGGCTCAGCAGCTCGGGGGCTCCTTGGGGCTGCGAACACACGGGCAGGACGGGACGGGACGGGACGGGACAGCCCAGCACGGTCCGGTCCGGCCCTGCACGGCTGTCCCGGCCGGAGCGCGGCCTTTGCCCGCGGCCGGGCAGCGCCGCTGCCCCGAGCTCCGCCCCGCCGCTGCTGCCGCCGGGCCCCGCCGCTCATCGGGTCCTGCCCCGCCTCTGCCCGGCGCGGCCAGCAGGTGAGTGCGGGGCCGGGAGCGGGGCCGAGGGGTCGGTCCCGCCGGGAGGGAGCGGAGGGGCCCGGGCAGAGGGGCTCGGTTCGCCCCGGGCAGAGGGGCCCGGCCGCGGCGTGAGGGGGCGGAGGTGGCGGGGTCGCCCCGGCGGGAGGGCCGGGGAGGGAGCGGCGGGAGGGCCGTGGGGGGAACGGCTCTGCCCCGGGGTTGTCCCCGAGCTCCGGGGTTGTGCCCCAGCCCCGAGGCTGTGCCCCTGCTCGGGGCAGCCTTGCAGGACCGGGTGCCTCTGATCTCGGGAGGGCGAGGGGCAGCGGGTGCCGTGAGCCTGGTCTGTGGGGCTCGTAGGCTCCGCAGCGGGGTGAGGGATTGCATTCTGTGCTCGCACAAGTGCATGGGTGGAATGTTTGAACTGCTAATCTGGGGCCGACTGTTTAAAGAATGGTTGCAATGATCTTGTTAGTGAGACTTTTCTAACTTCGTTTGTTCCAACTCCCTGCAAGAGATTGTTCATGAACTGGCTCGATGAAATGGTCAGGCTTGGGAGCTGAGCATATGGGAGGTACTCCAGAGAGGAAGAAAGTGTAGTTGTCCTGAGTGTCTCTGCATGAACTGCCATGCTGCAGTTAAGTGTTTGTTCTGGGCACTAGTCGAGATAGTGCCAGTGCTGTAACAAACCACAGTGTCCTGAAAGCATTTGTAGAACAGATTTACCTCTCCTGGTGACAGAACGAGTTTTAAACAGCAGAACTGTCCCAGGCTAAGTAGAGCCCTCGATAAGGTGAAATGTACTGCAGGCTTTGCCTTTCTAGGCTGTACTCTGAGACTTGTTTATGGATCTTCGTTAGGAGTGTGATTTCGTGCTATATAAGGCCAATATCAACTGTCATGTTTTGTTGTGCACAGTTTAAAGGATGATGGATAAGTGTGTTATCTGTTAAAGCAGTCTTCTAAAAGCATAACATTTCAGCTCAGTTCAGTAGGTTAGCTGTGAATTTTCTCCTTTACCTAATTTTAGTTCTGTAATTCCCCTGTTCCTCTGTCTCCTGAGTCCAAAGGAGAGAGCTGATGTTGTTGTTCACTGAATCAACTGTCCAGCTGCTGCCTGACTTGGGAGTTTAATAGGAAGGGGTTTGCTGCTCTTTTTAAAACAGCTGTCTACAAATGATTGTTTCTATATACTCTGAAACCACTGAGAAGCAACATAATGCAGCATTTGCATCAATTACACTGCTGTTAGTTAAGGAACATCTTGTGTGTGCTTAGAAGCATACTTACATAAAAATCTATGTGGTCAGAGAGGATGATTATTCCTTAGTTACCATTACAAAAATGGAGTCTTGTTCTCTTGGTCCAGAGTGTGTTGTCAACCAGCAGGCCACTGGACATGTTCTGTGTGTGTAATAAACCCGAGCAAAATTCTGTGTTCATGAGCTTCCGCAAACAGGATGTCGCTCTTAAAACTGTCTCTCAAACCAAAGTCTCAAAACCTTCTCTTCACAGTTCGTCTCTCTGATTTGGAAGGAACAGGACACATCCTCATCAGATAACTTTTATATCTAGGCCGAGAACAACAACTTCTTCCTCTTGCATGTGCAGTCTGTCCACATTTTTAAACAGCTGCCTGCACTGACAGATGACAAACAGCCTCCTAAAGTGAAACCAACTTATCCTGGAGTTGGGTGTTTTGTTCTGAATGGGGAGGGGATGGGAAGAAAATGTCTACATCTTGGAAACCTTCTGTAAAAGAAAATGATTAATTTTTTTTTTTTTTTTACAGTGGACACCTCTGAGATTTTCCCCTCTCAGTCCCAAATTAGTTGTAACTCTGAGGATTAATAATGGAGCATTATGAAGAATTCAGGGTACACAGAGATGAGGAATGTTAAGATAGCACATGAAAATGCAGAATGAGATGCTCAACTACATCTAGTGTAGTGGAGAATTTTTGAAGTTGATCTTGGAAGATTTTCCTGAAAATACTTGAGGTTTCTGGTCTAGTTTTCAAACTCTGGTCTGTAGGTACCATAAATGAGTTCTGCTCTTTTTAGGTGAAAAAGCCTGATGACTCAATGAGTTAAGCAAAGGGGAGCAAGTACAGAACACAGGAAAGTCTTGTCATAAGTTGCTTTTCATGATATAATGCTTACTCATTCTTTACTGGCAATGTGGCAATAAGGAACTAAATTAAAATGAGTTTATACCTGTTATATCACTGAAAAGCTAAAATCTGATATTCAGTGCAAACATGTGCAAACAATGGATTTAGAACATGAAAAGCTCTTGTTCCCTCTAGCAGCGGGAGGGAGACTTATGAGTTAATCTTGACTGTCTTCCAGGTAATGCAGTTGCATATCCAGTGCTACAATTGCCAGGATATCACACTTTAGGGTCCTGGCTCTCACTTGCCAGGTGACAGCTTTAGCAAGACAAGTATGGGTTTCTGACCTTTGTTTCCAGCTACTTTGCTGATACAAAAGCAAAGAGGTGACCATGGATAGAGAACCAAGTATTTTTAACTTACTCAAAGATCTCAGATTTAGGAAGATGTAAACTCTTGTTTCATTGTAACTTTGTTTTCCTATCAAGCTTAGGGCTCACTATGCCTTTGCTCAAAGCACCTCAGGACCTGGCATGCTCACCCTGAGGGCTTGCACCCGAGAGGCAGTGAGGAGGGGCAAGTGCTGGTACATCCTAACTTTAAAATACAAATGTAAAGATGTGTTTGGCTGACACATTACAGTTAGTGGGATGGCACACAGTATGTTCACACAACTTCAGTATTTCAGGGATCTATACCACCTTGCAATTCTTGTTTGTTTTTGCAGCCCTTATCTTTTCAGGATTGTAATATTGCATCTGGGGTTACAGCATATGCACTGCCTGTGCTATAGGATCAGATGGACTTGCTTGCTACAATAACCAGAAACTGTTCCTTTGCTTGTATGAAATTTCAGTTTCATGGCAGAGGCCATGATGGACCTTTTTTTTTTTCTTTCCCGAATTGATTACAGTCCATTTTCAAATTAGTGGTTTAACTGCAACAAAAGGTTTGGTATTATAATTATTGCCCTGAAGACTCATCCAAGCATATAAATAAATTCTACCTTCTGTAATTGTTACTGATGCCTTTCCTTATCTTGTAGCTTCCCACCTAGTGAAAGATGTCAGCAATAGGAGTAGTGTCTTCCTGTTCCTGTTTCCATCCTGGTGTATGGCTGCTGAAATCAGGGATGCAGAAGATGAGCTCCTTTGGCTTACATACAGCAGCCAGGTGTGCTGCCAAGGATTACTATGAAGTACTGGTGTTGGGTGGAGGTGCTGGTGGAATTGCCATGAGTGCTCGGATGAAGAGGAAAGTGGGAGCAGGAAATGTGGCTGTTGTTGAGCCAAGTAAGGTGAGTCTCCATCAGCTGTAAAGCATTGTAAAGAATAAGCTTTTTTTTTACATATGTGACCAGATTGGTCTGATTCTCATCCCCCTCCAGTCCCACGTCTCTGAATGTGGAGAGGAAGCCAACTAACCATCTTTTAAAAGGCTTTGCATGAAATTTGTTACTCCGTGAGATGTCTGCATCCCTCCAGCTTTGTCATGCAAAACTCTCAGTTATTTATACAGCTTCTTTTGTTGAGAATAATACAACATTAAGGGCACATTGCTTCCCATGTGGAGTGATGTGCCTTCATCTTGAAGCCTTTTTAAACAGTTCCTAAATGTCCATTTGGACTTTTATTTCAGACTCATTACTATCAGCCGCTGTGGACGCTGGTTGGTGGCGGCGCAAAGCAGCTGGCGGCTTCTGCACGTCCAACGGGAAGTGTAATGCCCAAAGGTGTGGAGTGGATCAAATCTCGAGTTACAGCATTGGATCCAGATAAGAACTGTGTCTGGCTGGAGAATGATATCAAGGTAGAAACATAAAGAAAAAAAAAAAAAAAAAAGGAAGTTTTTTCCATCCCCTTGGAACTGCCTATTGAGACCTCTGTCATCGAGGAGGCCGGGAAATTCCACTTAGTCTTATGAGAAGTGTTTGATCCTAAAATCTTTTTCTGATAAAAATTTTGGTAGGTAACTAGGTTAGAATAGAATCAGCTTAAAATATTATCATAAGTCTTTGCCCTGTTTATGGTGAAAAGGATGTTCAGATGTTTTGCTCCAGATATTTGTGTATAGCAAAGGCTGTGTGTAATGCAGTTTGCATTTTAACTAGAATGCTTAGAGCTTAACGTATATTACTAATACTCTCTAGATTTCCTTCTGTTATGACTCTATTGCTGTCAGATAATGCTTTGGTTTCTTTGTCTAAATACTTCTTTTTTTTTCCCTTACACAACAGGTATCTTACAAGTATCTGATAATTGCCCTTGGAATTAGTCTGCATTATGAAAAGGTATTTGTTTTACAGTAATCATATTTTTACTAGCTTTAAGAGCATCACATACATTCATTAAGGCTTTTCAGTACTTTTTTTACTGCAAGATATTGAACATTATCTGAATGAATGAACCAGAAGACTGATTTTACCACTTCCACAGATCTCTGTAATAACCCAAATTACCCATGGGAAGGTATTTTAAGACAACTTTGTTGCATCTCTATGGCAATATCAGCAGATGGGGCAGCAAGTTAAATCTAGAACTTAAAGGCAGCCTGTAATAATGAGATAATAAGGCATGTTGACTCTAGTCCAAAGCATCTCTAATGTAACAGAATGAGGAACACACAGCAGCCAGTAAAATCTGTCCTGCAGAATTAATTTGTCCTACCCTCGCCTTTCTTAAAGGATGCACTTCAAAAGGAACCAGCTGAGTTACCACACCTGTGTTCAAACTTCCTTTTTTGCTAGAAACTTCTTATATAGCTCTTTCTCAGTCTATATTTAATACTTGTCAATTGTGACAAAATTTTTGCCACCTGTACTTTAAACCTTCATTTCTTTTTCCTAGATCAAAGGCTTGCCTGAGGGTTTTGATCACCCTAAAATAGGTTCCAATTATTCAATTCACACAGTAGAGAAAACATGGAAAGCTATACAAGACTTTAAGGAAGGAAATGCAATCTTCACTTTCCCAAATACTCCAGTGAAGTGTGCAGGGGCTCCTCAGAAGATCATGTATTTATCGGATGCATACTGGAGGAAAGTAAGTATTTTACCCTCTCTGCCAGTGCTTGTTCCTACAGTTGGAAGGAAGGATTTTCTAAGGGTTTCATATTATCTTTAAAACAAATATAAACCACATGAGATGACTGTGACTCAGGATTCTTAAAGTGAGTGAGTTTCTTTTTCTATTATTAATGTATAATGAAGATAGGTAAATGGATCGTACATAAATATTTAGCTCACGTTTAATACCAGAGAGCCTTGTAGAATTCAGAATCCATAAGGAAAGAACTGCTTACCCAGCTTCTGGTGAGCTGCAGATAGAACTGTTCTCAGCCTGATTTATAACTTCAGGTCCTGCACTAATGTAATACTGGTTGGAATTAACTAATTCTTGTTACTTTAAGTACTTGATACCTGTTGCCATTTGTCTTTCAACTAGTCTGAGAAGTGGCTATGCTTGCTCCTTGGAGCACACAATCAGGAGGAGTCTTAGCCAGGCTGTTAAACAAGCTTGGTGAAAGCAAAAGACAACTTCAGGTGGAAGTTTCAGGCTTCATATGCATATAAGTGTCATGAGTTGTCTAATGGGTGAGTACCTGAATAAGGCATAGAAGTGAAGGTTTCAGAAAGCTATATAATGCTAAGCTGCTACAAATGCTTAACCTGCACACAGCAGTTCCTCAGTGCACTGCAGCCACCTCTTCTCACAAGCAGTTTGAGGGTCTGCCTTTTAACATTGCGTGAAATAGCTGTGTCTGAGACTTCTAATGTTAATACTTCATTAATAATTGAACTGCATGAATAGTTCTCTCAGCTCTTTACTAGTGCAGCATAGTTCTTTTGTCTCTGCTAGCCTGTCACAGCTCCTTAATAGAAAAGGCTAATTTGATCTCTTTCTGCAGACAGGAAAACGTTCCAAAGCAAATATCATGTTCAACACTTCACTTGGTGCAATTTTTGCTGTTAAGAAGTATGCTGATGCATTGCTTGAAGTAATAAAGGAGAGGAATATTGCTGTGAACTACAAGCGTAACCTTGTGGAAGTTCGAGCAGACAGGCAAGAGGCCGTGTTTGAAAACTTGGATAAACCTGGAGAGATTGAAGTTCATCAGGTCAGGAGCTTTCAGACCTGTAGTTTGGTTCTATTTCTTTTCCTTGTGTACTGTAACATAACTTCCACACTGTAATAACATGTCTGCTTTTTTGTGTACTGCTGTTCCTTCCTGAGAGTACCACCTCTAATTTTAGCAGAATATTTAAAAGTTTGAAACTAAGGTGGAGAGAAGAAAAAAATATTTCATAAACTATGCCTGGAGTCCTGCATGCCATGGGAATGTTTCAGGGGTGCATGGAGGAAGGCAAATTGTTGTTATGCCAGTCCAGATGGAGTTCCTTGATAAGGTTCATGTTCATTAACTGATGTGCTTGAAATCTGAGAACAAATTTTCATTCTATACACTTGTGTTTAAAAAACCAAACCAAACCCAAACCCAAGAAACTCTCTCCACACTGTGCTTATTGTCTTACATCGACACAGAGTTTGCTCTGATGAACTAAGCACTGAGCCCCTTTTCTTTCTGTTTAGTATGGAATGCTTCATGTCACACCCCCCATGGGGCCACCTCCTGTACTCATCAACAGTCCTGTCTCAGATGCAACTGGCTGGGTGGATGTAGATAAGGAAACTCTACAACATAAAAAGTATCCTAATGTCTTTGGCATTGGAGACTGCACCAACCTTCCAACATCAAAAACTGCTGCAGCTGTAGGTAAAGTTGCATATCTGTGTTTGTGGGTGTAATGACAAGTGTGGAGTCACAGTAAGCCTTTTGTTTAGTTTGCTACTCCCAAGGTCTTGACTTCAATTTTGAGCTTTTAAAAATACCAAAGTTAACTACAAATCATGCTAATGCCACTAACCCACACAGTTCTCTTGTTACAGATACCTCACAGATGAACTAATTCTATTTTCTGTGTTCACAGAATGACATGACTATTATTCTTGTATTCCATCATCATTCAGTAACAAAACTTTCATGCATATGTGTCAGCCAATTGATAAGTCACTATCAAAAAATCACATGTTCTGTCCCTGTAGCCACCAATTCCACTATAAAAACACTTTGGGTATATGGTCTCACAACCAAAAAAAGGCAAATAAAAGGGTGGAAAAAAAGAAAAGGTATACACTATGTTATTGGTGTAATTTAAGAAAGGGGAAGTCAACTATTTCAGCAAAAGGGTCTACAATACTTCCCTCACAGCACTCAAAATGAAATTCAGTGTGCCAGAATCTCAGTGCTTGTGAAGACTGAGCAAGTATAATCTCTCATGGGAGAATGGGCATAGGCTAAGAATATCAGCTCAAGTTTCATTAAGCTTAAGCATGTTCCAAGCAGCGAGGCCAAAGCATTAGTCCATTTTTCTTTTAATCTGGGACTGTAAACTTACATGTAAGTTCAATTGCAGCTGAATTGTCCAACAAAATGCCTGGCTGCTAGTGTTTGCTTTAGTAATGACAATTGCTACCTGAAACAAAGCCTTAGTACTTTTTTTTTTTTCTCTCTTATGCAGCTGCCCAGTCTGGAGTCCTTGATAAAACTATTTCTCTGGTAATGAAGAATCAGTTGCCAGCTAAAAAGGTACTCACAGCTCCTGGATTTTTTACAGCTCTTGTCTTACAGATAAATTATCTTGAATGTTTTCCCCCTTCTCATGCAGGAAGTCTTGCAAGCAGCTGAACCATGTGAACAGGAAGGGAGGAAGGGTTTTGCAGCAGCAGTTGGGTGCTAAATGGCTCCACACTGCACGTCAGAGTAGTGACTTAATTGCACAATTCATGCTCTTGATACTGCCACTAAAAACATTATCTATTTGATTCCCTGACTTCTGAGTTGAAAGAAGCTTAAAGGCTGCTTAGTCTGGGTTCTCCACCAATGCAGGTGATTTATTTAAACTGTTGACTAACAATCCCTACTCTAGGAACTCTTGCTAACTTGTTTCCCCTGTAGAAGCATGATCTTTTAAGGAGTTAAACTGAAAGTTTTGTACTACAGCTGATAAGCATGTAACTATGTCCAAATTTCTGAGGCTTTACTTTCATTCTACATATGGCTTCTGAATTAATATTCGTTGGGGCACAGACCTGAATGTCCTGCGATCTTCTGGAAATTCTTGCAATTAGATTCAAGATCCTGTTTGTGCCTGTTGAAGCAAACACCAGTTCTCGTCCTGATCTACTGGTCACCTGCTCTGCTGGTTACAGTAACCAACAATTAGTGACATAAAGCCCTATTGTTCTAGGTTAGTTCTAATTTAAGCAGTGTTGTCAAGCAAATCTACATTTGAAATAGAGGGGCTTAATATTATGCTTATTAAACCATAATCAGCTTAGCAGCCTTCCAACTTCACTGGTATTAAACCTGTAAATGCAGAAAGCTCATAGTAACTTAATTTTGAAATGTGAATGTTAACCATATGGCTTGTAATACCTCAGCATTTAGGCTTCGTTCAGCTGAATGAGAAGTGGGTATTTTTCCTTGCAGTATGATGGATATACTTCCTGCCCGCTTGTAACAGGCTACAACAAGGTGATTCTAGCAGAGTTTGACTACAATGCTCAGCCTCTGGAGACCTTTCCCATTGACCAGAGTAAGGAGAGAGTAACCATGTACCATATGAAAGCTGATATGATGCCTTTGCTCTACTGGAATGCACTTCTTAAGTAAGTATTTCACTTCTGTGATCAGTCAGAAAAAAACCCAACTCTTCTAGTTTAGTTCCTTCCTGGAATAGAAGCAAACCAAGTACATCCTTAGTCATAACTAGGACCTGGACCTTCTGAGGATTATGGGCACTTTGATAGTAACAGGGGTTTGTTCAAGAACAGAGCTGAATTGCAGAGAAGGGGAGCCATTGCCAAACTGAAAACTTCACTGAAACAAACCTCCAAAACAATCCCTTGTCACTCATCTTTTAGCAGTATATTTCTTACAGAAATAAAGAAAAACTGTCCCCAAATCCTACTTCAATAGTAGATATACAAAACAACTTTCTCTGTTTCTAGGGGATACTGGGGAGGACCAGCTCCCTTCAGGAAGTTGATGCATCTGGGCTTGAAGTAACTGCTCATTCTCGGTGTCGGTCAAACCCTTTTGAAGAAAATGGACTGGTCTCACACTGATCAGTATCTTCCCTCTTGGAATACCTAATAGACATTTTGTTCTTTTTTTTTTTTTTTAAATTTGTCCTAAATTTACTTTTCCCCCTATTAGGGATTGACCCTTCATATGCTCTTCCATGTAAGCCAAAGCCTTAAACTACTTCTGTATTTACAGAGGAGCCTTAAACCTACAAAACACTATGGAAATTTCTAGCACAATCAATACTTTTAAAGCTGTTGTGTATGTAAAATTTTCTTCCTTACTCTCAACTGAATTGTCTGCATCCAAGATCAACAAGTACACTGGGTTTAAGAGTGATTCAATGCTAGTAAAATGGCCTGAAAGTCTCCCACTGTTCTCTCATTTTTTAAGAACAAAATCAACCCTAATTTCTAACCATACCTGCTGCCTAATTATATGGATTATAGAAATTCATGCAAGACACTGAAATGAAAGTAAAAGCAGTGTATGTGTATATGGATACATACACACGCTCTCCCAGGACAGTTGTGCCCCTTCACATCAGTTCCACTATAATGTTTTAACATATGGCAGTAAGAACATCATGAAAAGAATTCCCAGGAGACTTGGGAAAGACTGAGATCATCTGAGACGACATAATAAACTGAAACACAATTTAGGATCACAGACAAGGGGGGAGTGCTTTTTAATTATGGCCATGTAGAACTCCAGTTTTCAAGGGAAGGTTGAACAAAGTTGAACTTAAGAGCTGAGTCTTCACAGAAGCTGGAACTTTAGTGGCAGTCAGGTAGACAGCATGGAGCAAACAGGAATCATCTTCAAACAAGAATCAGCAGCAGCAGCTTATTTCTAAACAGAAAGACAGAAGTGAACATATTTCAAGTTACAGCTTCATGCATTTTCAACACAGGTTTTGAAAGAGTTGCCTTTGAATTGCAGTTATAAGCATGCACACCTACCTGGGTGTTAAGTAATTCTTCAATCTTATTCTGGATCTGCCCATACACATCATTAAACAGCTCCTCCTTTGATTTTGTTCCATCCAAGTGCACTGAAAGTAAAGTAACAGAGCTATAACTGAATGTTTCTAAGCTTACCAGATCCTAATTTAAAAAGCATGCACCTGACTGGTATGAGAGAAATACACTCCCTCACCTGCTTCATTCACCTCTTCTCATGCATCTAACCAGTATGTATAGAGCAGGTCTGAAAAGCAATCTCATGAAGTCCTTTTGTCATTAAAGACTTACCCACATCAACTCCAAGTTCTTCCATTATCTTCCTGTGCTTTACATACATAGGCCAAACGTGGCCATCAAACAGTCCAGGTGGATCTGGTACAGTGTAATTCCTTGAACTGTAAATTAAGGCATTGTTACTCAAAAGTAGTGTAATTACAGTTCAAAGAAAAGACATTTTACTCAGCTTCTCTACACACTAGCCTGAGCCTGTTGTCTCCAATGTAGTTTCTGAGCTTATGGAAAGTCAGTATTTAGCAAGAGCTGCAAGCACAAAAATACCCAAGTAAGTCGGAATTTGATGGGCAGGTCCAAAGAGCTCAAGATGCAAAGAGTTCCCAAGACAGACTGATCTAAATATTGATGAGTAAACTCTGAAAGCTACAGCAGAACTTCGGGTAAAACAGCCGTTTGCTTATTTGTCTTGAAATGGAACTTCAAGTTTAACACCTTCCATTTGCATTAAGAACACTGTATATGCACAACAGTACAGCCAAGTGTAAACCCCCACATAGTTCAAGATCTGGGAACCCTATCATTGGAAAACCAGCAAGGGAAAAGACTAGTGAAAGGTCTGTGCAGAACCTGAGCATTACATACACAAACACAATGGCTTGGTAGGAAGCTTTGGGTTGGTTTACTGAAGGAAGCTTCAGTCTTCTAATAAAACAGCTACATTAGCATTTATGCCTTCTTATCTAAAAGCTTCAGAGAAACAAAATCTTGAACAGAGTAAGATGTTACTGGGCTAACAAGGAAACTAGAAAGACAAATTTACCTTCTTCTCCTTTTGCACTCTTCGTATGGAATGGAAAGAAAGTACCGATGGTGGAATACGTCAATCAGTGGCCTGAAAGAGACGTGGTTGGTTACAGTAGCAAAAAATGGAGAGGTAAAACTACATCCATTTACTGTACCTAGAGCAACCTTCAGACTTGTGACATCTAAACTCAGCAGTAGCACATAATGTAAAAGTCAAAACATATGGATGCATATTTGATTACCTGTAGGTGTAAAGCAGGAAGCCTTCAACGATAAGAATGTGAATTGTTTCATCTCCTCCCTCCTTATCTGGCAAGATCTGGGCATCCAGTGTGTTGTTGATCCCATGAGAACGTTCAAACTTGACTGGGTTTTTTATCCAAGCATTTATGGTGCTCATCATGGCTTCCATGTCTAATGCACTAATCACTAAGACAAAACAGACAACTATCATTAAGCAGTAATTAAATATTATCTAGTAATACAGTCAGTACAAAACAGTGCACATAAAGAATCAAAAGACTCCAAGTTTTTGAGTTATGCTTTGAAATACGGTAAGAAAGGCTTACCATCATACTGTTTAAACCCATCTTCAACTTCTATTTCATCTTGGGGCTGAAACAGTAATAAGAAAAAAAAAAACACAAACCTACTTGGTCAGGAAAACTACCGAGAAGCTCAATACCCATTTCAAAGCAAAATTCAAGACTCAAACCCTGAAGCCACCAAAAAGAGGCTCTTCACCCTCCACCAGGTTCCTCTGCATGCAGATAAAAACCAACAGTACGAGGCTCAGATAAAGCCGCTCGCTTCTCTATCTTCCCAGCGACACGAGCACACCGTGCAGCCCTCCACGGGGACGGAAAATCACCCGGACACGCTGGAGCGCTTATCCGCCGGGCACACGGGCCCAGCCAGGCTCTGCAGAGGCGGCGCAGGGCGGGCACCGCGCCAGCAGCGCGGGCGGAAGCCCGCGGGGGTCACCCCGCGCCCTCCCGCGGCCGGCAGGGCCCGCTCACCTTGAAGAAGTCGTCCTGGTGCACCACGCTGCAGTTGGGCAGGGCCCGCATCAGCCGCCGCGTCAGGGTGGTCTTGCCGCCGTTCGTGACCCTGCGGCGAGAGCGCGGCCGTCGGGGAGCGCCACGTGGGGACCGGGTAACCCGCACACCCCCCGGCACTGCGGCACCGAGAGGGCCGGCGGAAGGGACCCGCGCCCGCACCGCACCCCGAGCCGCCCCCCGGCCCGGCCCCGGCTCTCACCCGCCGATGCCGATGATGATGTTCATGGCGTGTCCCGCGGCCGCCCGGCCCGACTCCTACCGCCTGTCCTGAGGGGCTGGGAAGGGGGGGGGACCCGGTGTCTCCGGTACCGGCCGCCTACGTGCCTGAGCCGGGACCCGGGCAGGGGGAGGAAGGGGCCGGAGAAGAGGAGAAGGTGGAGAGGGGAGAGGCCAAACGTCAACTGCGGGTCCGCGCCATGGTGGCTCTGAGCAGCAGCAGGGCCGGTCCGCGCCGCGCCGCGCGCTCCGCAAAGGGGGGTGGCTCCGCCGCGCGCGCGCCTTCCCCTCGCGCCCCGCCGCGCCCATTGGGCGGCCACCGCCTCCCCCCGGCCAATGCGGAGCGGCGCGGCGCGGGCGCCTCGCGGTGATTGGCTGCGGCGCTCTCAGTCAGGCCGGGCGGTGTTACAGCGCGGCCGCTGGGGGGCGCTCGTTGGGCGCCGCACCGGGCACGGACGGGCGCGCCGATGGCGGGGGCGTGGCGCCCCCACGCGGCTCCGGCGGCGCAGCGCGGGAGAGGAGCTGCAGCAGTGCCGGGCGCTCGGCCGGGCTCCTCCGCCGTGGTGCTGCCGGTGGCCCGCTCCGGACACCGGCCCGGCTCTCGGCACTGAGGAGCTGCGCTGGGGCCGGGCGGCGGCTGGGCCGGGGCCGAGGCCCGGGCCGGCCGTAACTCTCCGTGAGGGCGCGGCGGGGCGGGGAGGCCGCGCGCGCGGTGCGCAGGGCGCCCCCTGGCGGAGCGCGCGGCCCAGCGTGTGTGAAGGTCACGGCGTGTCCTCGCGCCGGGCCGTGAGGGGGCTGCGGGAGCCCGGGGAGGACTGACCGGGAACGGCCCCGAGCAGCCCCTGCTTCCCCTGCTGCCCTCACACCCTGTTCCTTGGCGGCTGTGTGAGGCCCTCGGCAGCGGCTGCCGGGGCTCGGACTCCTCCAAACGGCTGTGCCTGAGGGACTTCACCTTTTCTTTCTTTTATCCTTTTATAAAGAAGGGAAACTTATCGTCACAGCTTTCTTTTTCTTTTTTTTTCATTTTTTTTTCTGGTAATTTAATCTGAATTTATTTTTAGTAACAATTAATTCCCTAAGTTACAAACCAGTAACTCTGTTCACCATGTTTACAATGCCAGTGGTTGGTGTGCTGCCAACCATTTTCTTGTTTCTCATCCTTTTGTGATTTTTGCTAATTTTCTTCTGGTAAGACCACAGGCAAATCTCAGTTGATTTCTTTCGCAGTTATTTTTAACTTCCAAAGGGAACACATAATTTGGCCTCTTGACTTTTCTTCTTTTTTGAGGAGGAATAGACATTTAGTTGAAAATATATTTTTTTCATTTTGTGATTACGGTTATTTAGCTCATTTTCACTGTGAAATAGAAGAACTGCCTTTATGGTTTGGGGTATTTTTTGTGACGGTTTTTTCGGAATCTGTACATACTCTGGTAAAATCAGGATGTTACTTGCAAGCAGTTAAACTCACTCTACTTCAGGATTTTAGCTGTTTGGCTCCAAAGTTCTTCCAAAGAAGAACTTGGTCATTTATTGTCTTGTACTCCTCACCTTTCACCAAGCAAGATGCACTCTTCAAGTTTCATGCTCAAAACCAGTATTTGAAATACAAATGCTGATTTTTTGCCACACCTTGCCATTCAAATATATAAACATACAATTGTTGGAGGATTTTAAAAGATATCAAATGAGCAAAGGATAATGAACAAATTAGAAGCACAGAGGCAATTAGGATGAAATATGCTTCTCACATCAACTCAGTACTGATAGAGCTGGCATGAAAATGGCAACTGGACTCAGTTAATCACAGTTTAACAATGAATTGGGGCAGGGTGATGGCAGCCTGTGCCTGATGTGTGATAATATACATGAACTGTACCCTCATTGTCCTTCACTAACAGCTCCAGCCAAGAATTTTACATTAGCAGACTTTGAGTCTAAAGTTGGGAAGAATAAACACGTTTAGTGTTGTTAATTATCAGGATCACTGTGCACCTCTCATGTCTGTGCAAAGAGGATTCTTTTGTTTTGGTTTGGGCAAATATTTTCCACTGATACTTTGTAAGTAAAACAGAAGAGTATTT